ATAAAAGGGAAAAATATCCTTGGGTAAGGATGAACAGCAACAACAACAAAAACAGAAGTACTACAAAAACAGCCAGAAAACAATTAACAAAATGGCAATAAGTACATACCTATCAATAACAACTTTAAATGTAAATGGACTAAATTTGCTAATCAAAAGACATAGAGTGTCTAAATGGATTTAATTAAAAAAAAAACCCACACAAAATTTATGGCCTGGGAATAAATTCAGGTTAAAATAAATGCTAGTAAAGGAGGAAAGTAAAAAGAAAAGCATTCAACTTAAATGATACATTAGACTAGATGGACTTAATAGATATATACAGAATATTCCACCCTCAAAATGGCAGAATACACATTCTTCTCAAGTGCACATGGAACATTCTCCAGAATAGACCACCTCAGCCCACAAATCTTAATAAATTCAAGAAGATTGAAATCATCAAGCATTTTTTCTAACCACAACGGTATGAAAATAGAAATCAATTACAAGAAGGAAACTGAAAAAAACACAAAAACGTGAAGACTACACAATATGCTACTGAAGAGCCAATGGGCCATCGAAGAAATCAAGAATACCTAGAGATGCATGAAAACAGAAATATGATATATCAAAGTCTACAGGATGCAGCAAAAGCATTCTAAGAGGGACATTCATAACAATATATGCCTACTTCAAGAAATAATCTCATAATGGGTCATGAGGTGGCCTTGATTTGCTAATCTTTGATCTCAGAACATAAAATATTAATTAAGGCAAGTGTAGGGTAAGACAACTGTTTTTAATCTCATGAAGCCTGGCAAATGCCTGGCTTCCTTAAGCCATTAATTCCTTAAGGACCTCTATATCTTGGCTTTCATTATCTTTCAAAGATGCTTTCTTTGTGTTCAAGCTTCTGGGCCTCCCTGTATCTCCAGAGCAGAATGAAGTTTGTTACTGTGACCCACACTCTGTTCTTTCTTGGTCTTCTTACCCTTCTTTAATCATAGGCTGAGACCTAGAGGGTCAGAGACTTTAGCAAAGGGCCTAGTTATATGCATCTGATTTAATCCTGTTCCCAGATCTGAACTCTGAATGATTGGTCCTTATATTATAAATCAATCTGGAAATTAATCATATTCTGTTTTTGATATATTAGTAATATTAAAATTGCTTCATAATTATCTTATGCATTATTTTGTGGATAAATCTTAGTACCTTATAATTTAGTTTCCTTGTCAATTCTTTTCTACTTCCATAAATATTAGAAATTTTTAAATTTTTTTATAGATTCATCTGTCTACTTTAGACCAAAATATTACTCTATAGCATCATTTGAATCCAAAGTAGGGTTTGGGGGGGGCGCAAAGAGAAAGGATCCTAGTAGGATCACATTCTAGTAAAAGGCCTACTAAATGCTGTTATATGATTAGAGTAGGTTTGTGATATCTGCATGTGTGACTTAAGATATGGCCTCAATTATATTCTTTGTGCATATGCTGCTGAAGTGTATTTGCATATTACTAATCACCTTTGTAGGCATGTTTTGTGTGTTTTTTTAATATATCTTTATTGATTTCAGAGAGAAGGAGGAAAAGGGAGGGAGAGAGATAGAAACATCAATGATGAGAGAATCGTCATTGATGGGCTGCCTCCTGCACGCCCCCAACTGGGGATGGAGCCCGCAACCTGGGCATGTGCCCTGACCGGGAATCAAATCGCAATCTCTTGGATCCTAGGTCGATGCTCAACTGCTGAACCATGCAGGCCAGGCAGTAGGCGTGTATTTTTAATATATCTTTTCAATTAAAAACTATTTTAAATTAGATCTGCTGGAAAGTTGCACAGTCATTATGTTATTAACAATATTAATGTTATGTGGAAAAATGTTATGTTATTGACTATTAACTTGAAATGTTGAAGTCAATTGGTGAAACTCTTAATGGTTCCTTAAGTGATTTTTCTGAATTTATTCTCTAGACAGACCTAAACTGCAGTAATCCATTCACTCCTGTGGAGAGGAGACATCATGAACATGCCAAACACATTTCCTTTGGTGGTAACCTGATTACCTTTTCACCTCTAAGGCCCCTCAGTGGAGAACAGCCAGAAGAATTCTGAACATTTTCCTTCATATTATCAATGCTCTGGTATGTTCTTAGAATATCGAAAGGTTGAAGACTATATTTTTGTTCATTTCTTTTCAACCCATTTATATGGTCTCATGTAATACTTTAATAGTCAGTGTTCATCCAAGTGTGTTTTAGATATACTGTCTCTCAGGGAAAGTGGGGATATTTTGTACAACAGCCATGCCGAATAAAAAATGTACAGTGCCTTGCGTCTCTTCTTTAAAATGTATAAGCTTAAAGCTAACGACCTTACTCAGAGCTTATGAACTTTGACAGAAATACTTGTATCCTTTCATACTTCATTTTTAGTTTGAACTATTAAATTTGTTGATGTCAAACGGCTTTGCGTATCGCATTTTCTGAGGTGTACTGAGTTTCTTTAGATGAGCTTTCTGGATTCTGATGTCAGTTTACATGTTGCAATTTCAAATGGTTAACTAGGTACCCATTAAATTCTTGCCTTTTTCATTTTCCCCTTGACACGACTAATAGGCTTTAAAGGAAATGCCTTCTTCCTTTGAAGAGAATATGTCAATCACTTAATGTGTTTGAAGTGTTTTTATAAAACTCTTACATGTAGGTCTGTGGAAGGCAGAGCCATCGGAGTAACAGAGCACCAAGAAGAGTCAGAGTAGCTAAAGCTTGTAACCAGACGCGGGTCCAGTTATTTCTGCCTTCAAATGACTTGACCAATAAGCAGGAGCTTTATGGATAACCTCCTTAAGATTAGGGGTTTTCAAACAAGAAAGGAAAACTTATGTTCTTCTGTTGGCAGAGGAAGAGGGTGTTAGGTGTGTGGGAAAGACAGTATTGAATCCTTGCGAGCAGTTGGAAGGCTATATGAGGTGCTGACTTAGAAGAATGTTCTCTAAATGCCTAAAGTCTTACCAAAAGATAAAAATACTGTGCCTTTTATTCACTAACAGCCTGTTAATGAACAATTCAAGCAGCAAGACCTGAAGAACAAAGAAGCATATATAAAAGTGAGATTTTCTAAGGGCCCAGGGCCTTGAACATGTAAAAGAGGTTGGTACAAAGTAACCCAACACTTAGAATCTATGGGAGTGGGTTTAATAAGATGTACTGTTGAATCATTTAGAATGCTTTTGGCGGTTATGTAATAGTAAAATGAACTCAAACAGACTTAGCAATAAGGAAATTTATTTCACAAGTCGTCAGCGTGCTTCTAGGTGCTTTACAATCAACAGCGTGATGATGGCATCGAGGTCTGATATTCTGTTCATAGTTCATTCTGTCGTCCTTGGCACTCTGAGGCTGGGTCCTTTGGGGTCATAATATGGCTGCTAGTGGTAATCAGAGCTGTGTCCTTCCCTGTGGTCTGGTTAGGCCAGCTAATGCCACATGTCCATCTGCAGATCAGTAAGTCAGCAGGGGATTGGCTTAAACTAATACTTCCCTGCTGAGTCTGGTATCATACCTGAATAGAACCACAATTATTTAGGACACAGGGAATGGATTTTTGTGTCAGCAGCCATCAGTGTCCCCGACAACTAGAGAGAGTGTTCTTGGGCTATTGGACTCCAGAATTATGTGGTATTAGAAAAATCTTTAAAGACAAAATGAAAAAAAACTGCTTGGGTAGAACAAGACCCTTTCCAAAATTGAAAGGGAATTTTTATTTATTGAGGACCTACTATATAATAGCCCTTTTGCAAATAATGTTTAGTCGATGATCACAGTCACCCTGCAAAAAGATGTGTCATACCACCCATTTTACAGACAAAGGAACCAAGGCTCAGAGGGTTTAAGTAATTTTGTATAAACCAAGTTTCCTCTTCTCCAAAGCTTAGGTTCTTCCATTTAATCCTAAGAGTAGAACAATCAAGACCAGAATGTTAGGGTAGGGAATTTACAGTTTTTGAAATATGCTGGGACATGCTGCTCAAATCCCTACAAAGGACTGAAAGGCATTCAGTTGCTGCAAGTGCGGACGGCCCTCAGCCATCATCCCATCTGAGAACTGCCTCGGGTGAAGAGAGCCACTTGGCCCAAATTCACACAGTTTCCCTAATATTGAGGATATAAAGGCCTGTCCCCGTCCTGAGTGCTCTAAAGGGTCTCCCTCTGCCCCGTTGTGTACCTTCTTGTCCCCACAGCTCTTGATTGCAAGAATGTTCCCTCATAAACCTCTTGTATTCTAGTCTCTGCTTCCTGGAGAACCCAACCTGTGACAATATGAGAAGATGGTGTAATAGAAAAAATATCTTGGTCTTTTATAAAATGAAGTGGTGTGACTACATCCTAGTTTTGAAATTTTGTTCTGGGTTTGCTGATAATAGGAAGGGCAGAAAGGCATGGTTAAGAATGTTGATGGGAACTATTAAATTTTTGAAACTGCTTATATATCTAATAGAGAACCTACTCCCTGCCCCC